ATTGCTGTTTATACAAGTATTACTTTTATTTAAAGTAAGTTCTCTGGGGTAAATTTCAGCAGTATGATTAGGGAATTCTTTATTATTTGAAGCAAAAATGCCACCAAGGTAACGGTAAGCGTTATTAAATGTATCTATTAAATGGAATTTAGACGAATTTTCACTAAGAAATTGGCCATTAACTGAAATTCATAACAATACAGGAACAAGTTCTGAAGTAAAGTATCATAAGGATGAAAATTAAGAATTGAAAAAAAAACCATTTGGTATTTCAAAAGTAGTTTTGTAGATAAATTTACTTGTGATTACAATGTAGATTTCAATCATTCCAATAAAGAGTTGGATCAAGTGATACCGGAACGGACTGTTGGTTGCAGGCTGCAATCGGCAAGTCAGTTGAATATGAAGGAGGAAAGAAAATATAAGTGTTTCACCAAAACATTATATATACGGGTATATAAGTTCAATTTGTGAATATTTGAAAAATGTGTAAGAATGTTTCGTATTTTATTTCCTTTATTAAACTGAACGAAGGTTTGAAATTTATTTGAAATTGATTCTTGATGTTATAAAACTTATATGTATGAGTGCCATTATATGAATTTAACAATTATGAGACAAATAACAAATGATTTACCAGCGGTAAAATTTTAGCTGGAGAAGTTAACTTGCTATGGATAAATAGCAGAAAATGTAGAAATTTCGAGAAATCACACATAGCGATGTGTACGAAACAGAACCTTTTCAGGAAGAAATACACGACTTTGTCAAAATTCCACTGAAAGAATTGTTATGAAAAATAATGACCATAACGCTAGAGTATTTTTTGTTGATTTACAAAGTCATTTAAAAGTGTGCAAAGTTTGCTACAATTCCATTACGACCTTTCTTAAACTATATATGTTAAATGTCGAATATATATGTTATTTTGTTATGTTATATTAAACATGTAATATCACTTTTCATTCAATGTGTGTGTCCCCCCCCCCCCCCCCCCCCCCCCCCCCCTGTTTCTTTGATAAAACATGAATTGAAATCTAGAGACACATGATAGATTATCATGATAATGATTATAGAAAGCCATTTAAAACAATTTACCAAATCTCTAAGGTTAGAACCATCAAATTTTAAGGTGGATTAATTGGTTTCAGAGACAGATTTCCTCTTACAATATTTTATAACAAGTTTAATTGTTTCAAATGAAGGATTTATGCCCATCTGTCCAAACTCATTAAAACAAAAGTAAATAAGATGTAATAGTTATGTGCAATTCAGTATCCCTTTGCATTTTCATCCTTAAATCAAATGAAGTAATTTGTCAAGACCTATTGTTATTGTTATTGTAAAATGAATGAGTATTCATTTGGTATAAATAAAACTAAATGAAGTGCAAACGTCAATCATTAAGCAACCCAACAAAAAGTAACTAAATAATAAGAATATACATTTCAAATATTAACAGAAGTATACATAATTAAATGTTTAGAAAAACCTCATTTAATTCCATTCCCATTGTTAATTCTAAACGTAGAATGAGAGGAAAATATTAATTTGTTTGCATGTATATGTTCACGAATACGTATACGTAGTAATCTAAAGAAAAGGGAAAACGTAAGCATTTCAAATTATGTCTATTTTTGTTATTGTAATAAATAAACCATTTTCTTCTGTTTCCGTATGTTTTTTCTTTATCATTTTGTGATATTTATTTATTAAAGATATGTTTATTTAGACAAATTACGAATTTTGAATGACTACTACTAAAAGATATCGAAAAAAGAAAGCACTATCAAGCCCCTTTAAATGCTTAATCAAATGATCACTTTAAAATTACTGTCAATTTCACAATAAAATTTTCAGTTTTTTAACCGTAACTTCAGATTTCGAACATAAACCACTCTGGAGAACGATGCGCCAATGTCTCCTCTACAACACCTATATAGTCGTTTTAAAATGGTCCAAATTTTTCTTTTAGTGCCCTACCCCCCTAATCTCATTTTGTCAATTTCACAATAAAATTTTCAGTTTTTTAACCGTAACTTCAGATTTTCGAACATAAACCACTCTGGCGATTTTCTTCAACGATGCGCCAATGTCTCCTCTACAACACCTATATAGTCGTTGCCCGTCACAATCTCTTTGAAATGGTCCAAATTTTTCTTTTAGTGCCCTAACCCCCCCCCCCCCCCCCTAATCTCATTTTGTCAATTTCACAATAAAATTTGCAGCTTTTTAACCGTAACTTCAGATTTTCGAACATAAACCACTCTGGAGATTTTCTTAAACGATGCGCCAATGTCTCCTCTACAACACCTATATAGTCGTTGTCCGTCACAATCTCTTTAAAAATGGTCCAAAATTTTCTTTTAGTGCCCTACCCCCGTAATCTCATTTTGTCAATTTCACAATAAAATTTTCAGATTTTTAACCGTAACTTCAGATTTTCGAAAAATAAACTACTCTGGAGATTTTTAAAAAAAATGCGCCAATGTCTCCTCTACAACACCTATATAGTCGTTGCCCGTCACAATCTCTTTAAAATGATCCAAATTTTTCTTTTAGTGCCCTACCCCCCTAATCTCATTTTGTCAATTTCACAATAAAATTTTCAGTTTTTTAACCGTAACTTCAGATTTTCGAACATAAACCTTTCTGGAGATTTTCTTAAACGACGGGCCATTGTCTCCTCTACAACACCTATATAGTCGTTGCCCGTCACAATCTCTTGAAATTGGTCCAAAACTAACTTAAATTGGCCTACCCCCTAATCTCATTTTGTCAATTTCACAATTTCAGTTTTTTAACCGTAACTTCAGATTTTCGAACATGAACCACTCTGGAGAATTTCCTAAACGATGCGCCAATGTCTTCTCTACAACACCTTTATAGTCGTTGTCCGTCACAATCTCTTTAAAATGGTCAAAAATTTTCTTTTAGTGCCCTACCCCCTAATCTCATTTTGTCAATTTCACAATTTCAGTTTTTTAACCGTAACTTCAGATTTTCGAACATAAACCACTCTGGAGATTTTCTAACACGATGCGCCAATGTCTCCTCTACAACACCTATATAGTCCTTGCCCGTCACAATCTCTTGAAATTGGTCAAAAATTAACTTAAATTGGCCAACCCCCCTAATCTCATTTTGTCAATTTCACAATTTCATTTTTTTTTAAGCGTATTTTCAGATTTTCGAACATAAACCACTCTGGAGATTTTCCTAAGCGATGCATCAATGTCTCTTCTACAACATCTTTAGAGTCGTTGTCGGTCACTATCTCTTTAAAATAGTCCAAAATTTTCTTTTAATGCCCTACCCCAATAATTTCATTTTGTCAATTTCACAATTTCAGTTTTTTAACCGTAACTTCAGATTTTCGAACATAAACCACTCTGGTGATTTTCTTAAACGATGCGCCAATGTCTCCTCTACAACACCTATATAGTCGTTGCCCGTCACAATCTCTTGAAATTGGTCCAAAATTAACTTAAATTGGCCTACCCCCCTAATCTCATTTTGTCAATTTCACAATTTCAGTTTTTTTTAAGCGTAACATCAGATTTTCGAACATATACCACTCTGGAGATTTTCCTAAGCGATGCACCAATGTCTCCTCTACAACACCAATATAGTAGTTGCCCGTCACAATCTCTATAAATTGGTTCAAAATGAACTTATATTAGTCTACCCCCCCCCCCTCCCCCCTTATCTCATTTTGTCAATTTCACAATTTCAGTTTTTTAACCGTAAATTCAGATTTTCGAACATAAACCACTCTGGAGATTTTCCTAAACGTTGCGCCAATGTCTCCTCTACATAACCTATATGCAGTCGTTGCCCGTCACAATCTCTATAAATGGGTCAACAATCAACTTAAGGTATCCCCCCTTTTCGTTTTTAATTACAGTTTTTTCAACCTAACTTCAGATTTTTTAATATAAATCATCCTGGAGTTTATCTTAATAGATACGCTAATTACTCAGCTGCATCACCTATGCAGTCATGTACCGTCACAATCTCTATAAATGGGTCAAAAATCAACTTAATGTATGCCCCCTCCCCCTTTTCGTTTTTACAATTTCAGTTTTTTTAAACTTAACTTCAGATTTTTAAACATAAACCATTCTAGAGTTTGTCTTATTAGATACGATAATGTCTCCTCTATATTACCTTTACAGTCGTTATTCGTTTTTGTTTAATATTTTGAATATTCTCATAATTGTCCGCTATGTCTCTGTAATTGTTCGCTAGCTCGAAAAAAAACGTGATTGTCTTATGTGAAATTGTGGTTTTTAGTTATACCTCCTAATTGTTCGCTACAATTGTTCGCTAGCTTGAGTCAAGTCATATATCCTTAAATAAGGATAGAGCGAAGCAGTCTACAGCTTTTTAGAAAGCTCAAACTTGTTTATATTTAACTTTGACCAGGCTATTTTTGAGTTATCTCCCCTTATGTGATTAGATTGAGAGAAAAAAATAAAATCAAACAAATAAATATTGTATATGTAAAAACAGACCTTATAATGAAATTAAACACTTACGTTTCTTCATTCAGAAGAAAGGTTTTACAAATTAATTACATTCCTCTCTCAAAATTTGCATAGTTTATTAGGGATCTAGACCGATTGTTTTCTACCATTTTACAATCCAAGATGGAGGAATACACATCTACCCAATAGGAAGGTTTTTCGCCGATTTCTTGTCATTTCTAAATTCTATACAAATGTACATCTACAGTACTATGAAAAAACTCATTCAATAGTATTTCAGAAATAAACTAGATAATGTTGTTCCAAAGTATATGATATTTATAACTGAACCTTGAACAACAGTCAATGCATCAAAATAAAATACGGACCCAAGGCAGACCAAGGAGCCTTCCACTATGTATTTTTCATCCTTTCTTGTGTTCATAAGTAGCACTGGTTTTATAATCAAAATATACATATACAGTATGTGATAGTTCTACAATCTAAAAAGTGATTCAAGCATAGCCAAGAAAACTTGTGACGTATTGAGCGGAACCAAGATGGTGGACTTGGTGATCGTATTTTCTCTGAGTGAATAAAAACAATAATAATTTCGAAAAGGATGAATATATTTAGAGAATGGAGTTAAAGAATATAAATAACAAGTTTAGAAACTAACACAAATAACCAAAATGACGTGATATAATCATGGATCGCGTCCGTCAGTTGCTCCATGCCTGCGAACACGGTGATGGCCATTCAGTTCAGGCTTTGCTGGACGAAGGAGTGGGGGTTGATAGCACTGACGACGAAGAAACTACGCCCCTACAGGTATATAAATATTTTCGATGAACACGCAACCATCTCCATATTCTAAACTCGTCCCATTTTCTTTTTCCATGCTACATAGTGTGTACCATCCATCTTAGACCGAGCTCATACTCGTAATGATCACGACATAGCCTAGGTCCTTATGTTATGATATTTTTTGACAATTTTGGGACCAAAGATGTCGAGGTCCGCAAATTGTCAAAAAATATCATATTAAAAGACCTTTGAGCAACAGTTCCGCAGCTACTTACAGATCTAGGACAACCTACTTATTGCACTCGAAAATCTGACTGGTCCCTTTACATGCTTTACATGACATGACCCCTATAGACATTTCCCTGTCATCCACATGATGATCACAGATAATATCTATTATACTGCCAGGTACTTACTTACAAGCACTCAAATGAAACAGTAGTAGTTGGTCGTAGCACCTTGATGGTGAAAATTGGTACATTTTGTATCTGTTCCATTCGCTCCCAAAACACATTCGCACTCTAAATGCTCTACATGTTCGCACTAAACACGTTCGGCCCCTGAGTTCATTCACACCTAATTTTTATCCAAATCAGGTTGAACTATTAGATGTACTTTCAGACATGTCAGATGTATATATATATCAAAATATTTTTATTTTCATGAATAAAAATTCGTGAATTTTTTAAATGATATATTTTTTTGGGTGATGATCATTAATTATTAAATGTTAATTATTTATGATTACTATTAATGGGTATTTACAAAGCTAAATTGGTATTTATATTGTTATGTCACTGTATGTGTTTGAACATCATGATTTCTGATTTCAGTTAAGTAGCCTTGGTGTTAAAATTAAGTAAAATACAAGTAGTTAGCTTGTTAGGAGGGAAAACAATGAAGATTTTAAATAGAAAATATGAAAGATAATTGTTTTTAACAGCCTGGCCCCTTTGATTTCGTGTGTGTTTGGACCAGTATGACATACAACATCGCCAAACATAGTAGAGGGTATGGATGTTGGGTCCTTCATTTCTGTATTCTTTATATCTTGGGCCCATTATTCTGTAGTATTGGGCCACTATTCTCTTATCAAGTAAACCCCACACAGACTTATGCACCTAATAAACATGTGCTTTAATTGTAGCCCAGTTTTTGTTTTATTTGTTGTTGTAGCAATGTCATTGTGACTAGGTTGATAGCCATTTGGCAATGTTTGGTATTTTCCGCCTTTCTTTTACAAGTCTTAGAGACGAATGACTTGGCCTTTGATCATCATGACAATATTCATTATTCATTTCGTCTAAATGATTCACAAAACAAAACCTGTTTTAATACATGTTTAGCTCACCTGGCCCAAAGGGCCAAGTGAGCTTTTCTCATCACTTGGCATCCGTCGTCCGTTAAATTTTACAAAAATCTTCTCCTCTGACACTACTTGGCCAAATTTAACCAAACTTGGCCACAATCATCATTGGGGTATCTTGTTTATAAAAATATGTCCAGTGACCCGGCCAACCAACCAAGATGGCCGCCATGGCTAAAATAGAACATAGGGGTGAAATGTAGATTTTGGCTTATATCTCTGAAACCAAAGCATTTAGAGCAAATCTGACACGGGGGTAAAATTGTTTATCAGGTCAAGATCTATCTGCCCTGAAATTTTCAGACCAATCAGGCAACAGGTTTTTGGGTTGCTGCCCCTGAATTGGTAATTTTAAGGAAATTTTGCTGTTTTTGGTTATTGTCTTGAATCTTATTATAGATAGAGATAAACTGTAAACAGCAATAATGTTCAGCAAAGTAAGATCTACAAATAAGTCAACATGACCAAAATGGTCAGTTGACCCCTTAAGGAGTTATTACCCTTTATATTCAATTTTTAACCATTTTTCGTAAATTTTTGTAATCTTTTACAAAAATCTTCTCCTCTGAAACTGCTAAGACAAATTGAACCAAACTTGTCCACAATCATCATTAGGGTATCTAGTTTAAAAAATGTGTCCGATGACCCCGCCCTCGAACCAAGATGGCAGACATGGCTAAAAAATAGTACATAGGGTAAAATGCAGTTTTTTGCTCATATCTCTGAAACCAAATCATTTAGAGCAAATCTGACGGGAAAAAATTGTTCATTAGGTCAACATCTATCTGCCCTGAAATTTTCAGACCAATCAGGCAACACTTTTTGGGTTGCTGCCCCTGAATTGGTAATTTTAAGAAAATTTTGCAGCTTTTGGTTATTATCTTGAATATTATTATAGATAGAGATAAACTGTAAACAGCAATAATGTACAGCAAAGTAAGATCTACTAATAAGTAAACATGACCAAAATTGTCAATTGACCCCTACAGGAGTTATTGCCCTAGCAGCAAGAATGTTCAGTAAAGTAAGATCTACAAACACATCACCATCACCAAAACACAATTTTGTCATGAATCCATCTGTGTCCTTTGTTTAATATGCACATAGACCAAGGTGAGCGACACATGCTCTTTAGAGCCTCTAGTTAGAATGTCACTTCATTTTTACACAAAAAAAACTAGTTATCTTTATTTTATAGCTATATACACTAACTAAAGCAGGATTAAAAAAATATTTAAAACATAACCTTTTAAACGGATGCGAATGTACATGTGTAGGGTGCGAATGTGAAAGGGGGCAAATGTGAATGGGAGCGAACATGATTTTGGGGGAATAGACCCGGATTTGTGAAAATTCAGGGATGGTACAAGCAGGATTCCAACCTGCAGCTTTGACATGTTTGAGATCTAATGGCAGCCCTCTAACCCACTGAGTTAGAAAAAAAATCTTCCCTCATTCTAATGTTAGCTTATGTACATGTTCTCAATTGACATGATTGAATTGTTTCATATTTTTCATGTCGGGGCCTTTTATAGCTGACTATACAGTATTTTTTTTTTTAATTATTTCGGTTGCCTGTAATTGCTTACATCCATTTCATTTGAACTTTGGTGGATATTTCAATTTGTCTCATTGGCAATCATACCACATCTCCTTATTTTAATATGTTTAAAATTTTAAATCTATAAATGGCAATACATGCATGTATCATCAATTTCCTGTAGTGTATTATATAACGGAAGAATTTATACAAAGGTATACTGTTATTGTGGTTGTTGACCTTTGTTTACCATTTTGTTTGTGACACCATTTTTACAGCCTCCAATATCCTTTATTAGCATCTTAATTAGTGTGTTTCCTGTGGGTAGATAACCAATAGGCTATTTCTCGAATTATGTCTTTAGCTTACAGTAGAAAAGATCTTAAGATATGCATGCCCTTATGACATCATTTACCAGATAGAAGGTGCACCTGTATCCCTGCACTATTAAAGTTTCAAGCATCTTCAGGATTCTGCAGGGTAGTCTAGAAATTATTTATGTTCCGTAGGCGTAGGTACATAATCTCAAGTCGTGTACAACTGTTTAAAGAGAGGGTGACCAACTAATTAGATTTTAATTTCATGAATATTTCATGCACTGAGTATAACATCAAACCTTTTCACCCATTCTCTCAACATGTGTTGGAAGTGACGATGCCTACATTTTGGTCATGTGGTGAACATAGTGAAGTCACAAGACAGATACAACTAACAGTTAGTAACTATTGACTACTGTATCTCAGAACTGGCGTATTCTAGACACTTTTCCAATTATCTCTTGTGTTTTGATCGTCCTAAACATGCATGAAATATTTGCCACTGGACATTAAGTAACCAACAATCAATCAATCTTGTGTTGAGTTTTTTTTTGTATTTATCAAAATACATGGTACTACTGCATTTGTACTGTGACACTATTTGCAGAGAGATAAATAATCAAATGGTGAGTTTTATTTGGTCCAGTTATAGTTTATTCGGTCCTCTAAATCATCCCTTGTTACCAGACCAAAATGTCCAGTAAAACTCTGAAGACCTGGAAATCACTGCTCTAGTATGTTCTGCACTATTAGCTTTTCTTCAAAAATACCAGAAAACAATCAGTATAATCAGTACAGTTGGATTAAGCACACTGCTTCAATGAAGTGTCGAGAGCCTTGTAATATTGTTTTTGTTTTCCAATTGCGATAAGTAAGCTGTTCAGGAGCTAGGAATTTCACTGATTAGTAACACTGTAACACTGCACATTGAAATAAGGTCAATAGAAATAAATTTCATGATTTTTTTAATGTTAAAGGCTGTGTGACTGCCAAAACACTTCAATTCCACAGGACAATTTCTTATTTGCTCAGCAAGTTGGCGAGAGGACGTTTCACACTCTGTTTTTATACGACCGCAAAAATTGAAAATTTTTTGGTCGTATATTGGTATGACGTTGGCGTCGTCGTCGTCGTCGTCGTCGTCGTCTGGCGTCGTCCGGCGTCGTCCGAAGACACATTGGTTTTCGCACTCTAACTTTAGTTTAAGTGAATGAATCTCCATGAAATTTTACCATAAGGTTCAATACCACGAAAGGAAGGTGGGGATTGATTTTGGGGGTTATGGTACCAACAGTTAAGGAATTAGGGGCCAAAAAGGGGCCAAAAATAAGCATTTTTGTAACTTCCAGACAATAACTTGTGTGTTAGTGTATGGATCTCTCTGACATTGTACCACAAGGTTCCATATCACAAAGGGAAGGCTGTAATTGATTTTGGGGGTAATTGCCTCAAAATTTTAGGAATTAGGGGCCAAAAAAGGGGCAAAAAACAAAGCATTTTTCTAGTTTCATGACAATAACTTGTGTGTAAGTGTTTGGATATTTCTGAAATTGTACTACAAGGTTCCATATCACAAAGGGAAAGCTGGAATTGAGTTTGGGGGTAATTGCCCAAAACGTTTAGGAATTGGGGGACAAAAAGGGGCCAAAAATAAGCATTTTTCTAGTTTCCAGACAATAACTTGTGTTCAAGTGTATGGATCTCTCTGAAATTGTACTGCAAGGTACCATACCACAAAGGGAAGGCTGGGATTGAGTTTGGGGGTGATGAATCATAAGGGGGTTCAAAAAATTGGGGGGGGGGATTTTTTTTTTTCTTTTTTTTTCTTTTTTTCCTTTTTTTTTTCTTTTAAAATTTTCCATTTTAAGTTGGTTATTTCTGATTAATATTTAAAAGCAAATAATAATGATATGGTAGGAGATACACACCAAACATTATTATATAATAAGTATTGTGCAATAGCAAGAAATTTTCAATTGGACAGTATTGCACAATTGCAAGAAATCTTCAATTGCACAGTATTGCGCAATAGCAAGAAATCTTCAATTGCACAGTATTGCGCAATAGCAAGAAATATCCAATAGCAAGAAATATCCAATAGCACAATATTGCGCAATAGCAAGAAATTGTCAATTGTACAGTATTGCACAATAGCAAGAAATATTCAATTGCACAGTATTGTGCAAAAGAAGATACTTCGTATAAATTGCTTATTTCTTGATCAATTTCAATGGGGTTTTATTCTTGAATTCTTGGGGTTCTTTAATATGCTGAATCTAACCGTGTATTAAGTTTTTGGATTTTGGGCCCCGTTTTTAAATTGTCCACATTGAGGTCCAAAGGGTCCAAAATTTAACTTTGTTTGATTTCATCAAAAATTGAATTATTGGGGTTCTTTGATATGCCGAATCTAACCGTGTATTTAGATTCTTAATTTTTGGTTCCGTTTTCAAATTGGTCTACATTAAGGTCAAAAGGGTCCAAAATTAAACTTAGTTTGATTTTAACAAAAATTGAATTTTTAGGGTACTTTGATATGCTGAATCTAAACATGTATTTAGATTTTTGATTATGGGCCCAGTTTTCAAGTTGGTCCAAATCGGGGTCCAAAATTAAACTTTGTTTGATTTCAACAAAAATTGAATATATGGGGTTCTTTGATATGCTGAATCTAACCATGTATTTAGATTTTTGATTTTTGGGCCCCGTTATCAACTTTGTCCACATTGAGGTCAAAAGGGTCCAAAATTAAACTTTGTTTGATTTCATCAAAAATTGAATTCTTGGGGTCCTTTGATATGCTGAATCTAACCATGTATTTAGATTTTTTATTTGTGGACCCGCTATCAAATTGGTTCATATTGAGGTCAAAAGGGTCCAAAATTAAACTTTGTTTGATTTCATCAAAAATTGAATTATTTGGGTTCTTTGATATGCCAAATCTAACCGTGTATTTAGATTTTTTATTTTGGGTCCCGTTTTTAAATTGGTCTACATTAAGGTCCAAAGGGTCCAAAATTAAACTTAGTTTGATTTTAACAAAAATTGAATTCTTGGGGTTCTTTGATATGCTGAATCTAAACATGTGTTTAGATTTTTGATTATAGGCCCAGTTTTCAAGTTGGTCCAAGTTGGGGTCCAAAATTAAACTTTGTTTGATTTCAACAAAAATTGAATATATGGGGTTCTTTGATATGCTGAATCTAAACATGTATTTAGATTTTAGATTTTTGGCCCAGTTTTCAAGTTGGTCCAAATTGGGGTTTAAAATTAAACTTTGTTTGATTTCTACAAAAATTGAATATATGGGGTTCTTTGATATGCTGAAAATTACCATGTATTTAGATTTTTTATTTGTGGGCCCGCTATCAAATTGGTTCATATTGAGGTCAAAAGGGTCCAAAATTAAACTTTGTTTGATTTCATCAAAAATTGAATTATTGGGGTTCTTTGATATGCCAAATCTAACCGTGTTTTTAGATTTTTAATTTTGGGTCCCTTTTTTTAAATTGGTCTACATTAAGGTCCAAAGGGTCCAAAATTAAACTTAGTTTGATTTTAACAAAAATTGAATTCTTGGGGTACTTTGATATGCTGAATCTAAACATGTGTTTAGATTTTTGATTATGGGACCAGTTTTCAAGTTTGTCCAAGTTGGGGTCCAAAAATAAACTTTGTTTGATTTCAACAAAAATTGAATATATGGGGTTCTTTGATATGCTGAATCTAACCATGTATTTTGATTTTGGACATTGGACCATAATAGGTAAATTAAAAAAAGTTCTTAGACCACATTCTTTTTGTGTCAGAAACCTATGCTGTGTCAAATATTTAATCACAATCCAAATTCAGAGCTGTATCAAGCTTGAATGTTGTGTCCATACTTGCCCCAACTGTTCAGGGTTCGACCTCTGCGGTCGTATCAAGCTGCGCCCAGCGAAGCATTTTATTATATATAATATATACCTCCAATTGTACTACAAATTTTAGGAACCTAATAGAAATAAGATTTTAAAAAAATGTACATGATGTATATTCAACTGAGCAGTTTCCATATTAACAGTTCATCCAATGGACTTGACATATACACAATGTACAGCTGTTTTTAAACCACAATATTTACTCTGAGGACAGACAAACCTCAGAGTTCTCAAAAAGTTGTGGTCTGAAGGTCCTTACCACCAAAATTTTGCAAAGGACCGACACAATTTTGTTATTTTGCAATAGAAATAGTGAGGACCATCAGATTTTCTTCAAGGACCACCAGGAAAAAAAAGATTTCAAGAACTCTGTCTGAGTTACCCTGTACACCTGGAAAAGTTTTACCCCATGATAGAAACATTGACGTAATTTTCAATATATATGTATCATGTGTATTAGATGAATTAGTCAAGTTACACCTATCCTAAAAGTTTATTTAGTTATGGACAATGCTTTATTTAAGCATGTTAATACAATTCTGCTAAAATAATATCTATAAAAGAACAATATAAGAGACATTTAAACCAAGTAGACTGGACTTTTTACCTACCTAATTCCAATCTTTTTTGGGAGAGAACCTTTTAAACATCCCAAGGCAGACAAATCTTATTTTACCATTATCCAGTTTTATGTACACATGGATATGGGTAAAAGGAGATGTATATATTTATATACACAATTACTCTAAATATCAGCACAACAACGCACAGTTTTGTTCTTCCCCCGTGGGGATTATATATGTCTGCCTACACTGTATGTGTAGTGACAACTGCAAATTATACCTTGTCCATTGGATTTCTTATGATTAAGAAATACCAGGCCTAAGAATATTTACAAAGTGCCTAGAAAATCAACCTGACAATGTTAGAGTAGATCTGATTCTCAGAACTACTCTAACATTGTTAGGTTGATTTTCTAGGCACTTTATATATACATGTATAAATATATATCACTGTGTATATGGTACAATCATCCAACTCAACTATCAACACGTGTTGATATGATACATGCAGGTCTGGCTGCTCTGGCACTAAATTATCTTGAGTCTAAAAAAGTGAACAAATTTAGCATACAAGACTATCAAAGATTAAAATTCAACATAAAAATTAAAGGTAGTTCAGATGCATTTAGAAGTGTATATATGGTGAATGAAAAAGTACTTAACATGCTTAAAGAAATAACATGTACATGTATAACATGTATAATTGTCAATAATTTTTATGCTTCAATTACTGCATATAGTAATTATATCGCTTAACCAATTCATCCTCCTATCCTTGCATGCTCATTGCTATGTGTCAGAACACAAATGGTTTTAGAATGGAAACTTAAGTATCCCTTGCTTGATTGGGATAAAGACTACCGGTAGTTACAAATGGAAAAGAGAGGCGAAAGATACCAGAGGAACATTCAAACTCATAAGTCGAAAATAAACTCACAACGCCATGGCCAAAAAAGAAAAAGACTAACAGACAAACAATAGTACACAAAACACAACATACAAAACTAAAGACTGAGCAACACGAACCCCACCAAAAACTGGGGGTGATCTCAGGTGCTCTGGAAGGGTAAGCAGATCCTGCTCCACATCTGGCACCATTCGTGTTGCTCATGTTAGTACAAACCCGGTAATAAGTCTTAATTCAGTAGGTCACATTCGGGAAAAGGGGACGGGATTGTAGTTACCACATTAAGAACATATCCGCTATCATCTGTGAAATGGATATTCCATAATGGTCATCCAACTCGTGATGGCGTCCTTAAAACTTACGAAGGGATGATTTCAACTTCACCACTTGGAACTCTTGGTTTAATAGCTTCCTTGTGAGCAGTGCTCAACCCTCTATCAAGGAAATAATGATAGGAAGATATTGGGCAGGCGAAGAAGCATAGTAAGGTCAAGGTCACTGTTACTAAAGTAAAAAATTCTCTTGATAAACTGATAAATGTGCAGATCGGAGGGCATCAGTTGGGAGATTTTTGCTTGTTTTATTTCAAAATGCATTTAATGATTTATTATTGACTTTGTAGATTGCAGCAGCAAATGGGCACGACCACATTGTAAGACTTCTGTTAATGAAAGGGGCAGCATTAGATCAACCAAATAATTTTGGATGGACCCCACTGATGCATGCTTGTCGCAATGGTCACAATGAAGTAGTAGTAACACTGCTTCAAAGACAGGCAGATATCAGCGTAAAAACTAGGTATGGCATTTCAGCAGTTACACTTGCAGCCAGAGGTGGCCATATACAGGTGGTCAGAAAGCTAGTCGAGGCTGGCATTGATTTGAATAACTCAGGGAATGGATGCATGTGTGAATTTACACCTCTTCTAGTTGCTGTTGAACATGGACATGATGCAGTATTGCGTTTCCTTTTGGACCGTGGATGTGATGTAAATAACAAAACAGCATCAACAGGACTAACACCTCTAATGCTGGCTGCTGTTAATGGGCACCTTAAAACTGCCCAGATTCTCATAGAGAGTGGTGCTGATGCCAACCTTACATCTATAAATAATAGGACTGCTTTAGATATGGCAACAGCTATGGGAAAAAGTGAGGTTGCCAGTTACCTTGACAGGAAAACAACAAATAAAACATTCAAAGGTAAGCATTAATGATTGCCTATACATGTACATGTACACCAATGTACATACAAAAGCTTAAACCATACACTGGTAAAAACAGGTAATGGTCTTTCCCTCCAAATCACTTCTATTTATGTCTATATACATGTATGCATTATCATGATTATGAAGATTTCTTTGAATCGATATCTGTGATCTCTATTGTATAATACACATGTATAACAATGTTCTAGCTAGAAGCTTAGGGCAGAGGGGCACATTGTTAGAAAAGGGCACTTTTTTGCGTCAATCTATCACAACAGACCATTTAAAATACTTGATATTTTGGCAAACTATAAGCCAAAACATAAAGACTGCATTTCTACTGTGTACAATAACTTGAATGAAGTTCCCCCCGGTTTTTGGTGGGGTTTGTGTTGTTCAATCTTAAGTTTTCTATGTTGTGTTTTGTATACTGTTGTTTGTCTTTCTGTCTTTCTCTTTTTTTGCCATGGCATTATCAGTTAATTTTTTTGTCTTGCACTTATGAGTTATAATGTCCCATTGGTATCTTTTTCATCTCTTTTACTATAGAAGCTCAAATGTTGGTAAGATGTTTACCATAACCTATATTATTATGTTTATTGTTTACCATAACATTCAAAATCAGTTGAATGAAGCTTATCATAACTGGTGAAAATTCCATCGCATATTTAACTGAACATGCTGAATGAATAAAAATTATTCAAAAACAGATAATTATGTGGTTACAGATAAGTTTCAGACACTATATAGATAGTGTGCCACTATAAATCCATCATTCTGCCTTTTAAAAGAAGGTCCATGAAGAACCTAAACTGGTCATGCTATGAATCACCACCAGGACTGTTAATTATAAAAATAAGATGTGGTATGATTGCCAATGAGACAACTCTACACAAGAGACCAAATGACCGTAGCGGAGGGGGCATTAAGTTTTACCCTTGTCTGTCCGCACGTCCTAAAGTTGGTTTCTGTTCTCTAACTTTAGTTTGCCTCAACCAAATGTGATAAAACTTATACACAATGCTTATTACCAAAAAACACAGATCAAGTTCGAATTTTGGTGGTGTCACTTTAACCGTTCTAGATTTATGCCCCTTTACCAAAGGAAAAATTGCTGAATTTTTCGTTTCCATTCCTTTACTTAAGTTTGCCTCAACCAAATGTGATGAAACTTATACACAATACTTAGCTTATTACCACAAAACTCAGATCAAGTACAAATATGGGTAGTGTCACTTTTACCGTTCTTCAGTTATGTCCCTTTATAACTTTATATGATATGCAAGAGGGGGGCATCATCTGTGTCCTATGGACACATTCCCCATTTATTTTCTTGTAAGATAAGTCTCATCACATACTGTTCTTGTGAAATGAATGGTTCATTTGTACTGGATTTGAACAAATATATATATAACAGTCAATGCACAACTGATTTCCCAATTTCATGCATTTAAGTACTAGAATATTGGATATCTTTAGACAGCATAAGTTCTTATTTAGATTTGAAACATTAAACTCAGTTCAGCGTAAAAGAATTTGATTTATAGTATTGAATTACTTTTAACATAATGGGGTACATTTAAATTGGCTTGAACAATAACATCTAACAACCATAAATCTATAGAAACAGAACATATGATAGATATCTTGTGCTATTTGCAGCTTCAGTGTTACCTGTATTTTCTTTTTAATATACCTAAGGTAACATTATAAAGAATTGATAATTGTATTGATTTACAAGACATTGCCAGGTATTTTTGGATAGTCAGTTCAATACTGTGTCTGTTTTTGGTTAAATTTAATTTAATATTGTGATGACTAGAATAGGGACATAAATTTAATTGTATTTTTATACACTTATCAGATCTGGAAACAGCAGACTGTGTAACAATTATTACAAAATATAGTCATGAATACATGGCAAATACATGAAATATTTCACCTTGTAATATTATAATTTAAATTATATATATAATTACAATGTATGCAGTTATTGCATATATGTATGTACATGTATATACAGTGAGTTCGTTTGAAACCTAACCAATTTATCCATTCATGTTATCATTGAATATTCAGAACAGTTAAATCAAGTTCTCTTTTAACTTGATCTAAAAGATATCTATGAACTTCATTAGAGACTTCTCTGTTATAAAAAAAAGTGTGGGGGGACCTGCAGTGTTCTCTCCAGTATTTTCATAGTAATAAACACCATGGGATTTGAAATATCATTGACTCCCTGAAAATTTAGCACCACTTTTACACCATGGAAAAAAATAGAGCAGCAATTTAGTGTCATGGTGCTATAAGGCTGCTGGGGGAGAAAACTCACTCACTGACAATTGCAAAAGATTTTGAAAATTTTTCAACATGACAGTTTAAAAAATTTTGAATTAAGTACATACAGTAATAAATATTCTGAATTGAATTCTACAGTTCTATACTGATTCATGAAATTGTAAATATTATTTAATTTGACCGTCAAATTTTGACGACTGTTACTTTGCCATACCACCTGTTACTTACTATTTGCTTTAAACATGTTAAATGTACAAAACAAAATATAAGTGTTTGTGTATGCAGGTCAGTAATTATAATATTCCACCTAAAATGGTGTAAGTAATACTATATGTACATGTAGAAAAGGAAACAACCAAATGTTTACTAAAAAAATCAGTGTCCACTTATTTGTTGGCTTTGTCTATTGAAAACCTCTTCAAATCTACTCAACAAATTTAGTTTCAGCCCTACAATTGGCTTACACAAACATTGTAAATGAAGAACCAAGAAATGATATTAATTTATAGTGTTCCTGACGTAGTTAAACAGTCCCCTATATATTCATGATATTTAAAAGTACATCTAGCCCTGTTTGAAATGTTTACAGGACACATATATTCACACCCTGTGTACATGATTCATAGTAGCCATATTATTTAAATGTCTGCTGTACAAATTAATTTAATCAGCATTGTCAATATTTATTTTAATTTGTAATAGTAACTTCAACCAGGAAACTACTAACATCTTTTTGAAATTGTTTAAAAAGGAATAAACGTGCAATTGAATTTATAATTGACAATTACTCTGAAAAAGAGAGCCAGTAAAGGTGCCAACTGACCATTACTTCCTGTCTACTCTTATTGTCTCTCTCAGTGAACTTTTCACCTTCAAAGTTCAATCATCTTTGAAACTACCATTACAAATTGAACCAAAAAAGAATATTATCTTGATAGTTTTTCTTTTTGTTCAGTTTTGGGTTAAAACATGGCAAAATTTTTGAAACTACAAGACATTGTTTTTTCAAGCTTTAATAACAGGAATGATGATTTAGTGAGACATGTTACAAAGATTCCTTGTTTTTTGACGATATGGTGATATACCAAATAATGGCAGAAATGATGCTTTATTGGTTCCTGTTGAACATTATGGGAAATTAAAACATATATTTCATGATCTTTTCAAAAACCACAAATGTTGCCAATCTGAACCAAAAATCTGCTACATGTTCGATAGTTTATGGAAGTTGCCAATCTGAACCAAAAATCTGCTACATGTTCGGTAGTTTATGGAAGTTGCCAATCTGAACCAAAATCTGCTACATGTTGGGTAGTTTATGGAAGTTGTCAATCTGAACCAAAATCTGCTACATGTTTGGTAGTTTATGAAAGTTGCCAATCTGAACCAAAAATATGCTACATGTTTGGTAGTTTATGAAAGTTACCAATCTGAACTAAAAATCTGCTACATGTTCAGTAGTTTATGGAAGTTGCCAATCTGAACCAAAATCTGCTACAAGTTCGGTAGTTTATGGAAGTTGACAATCTGAACAAAAAATCTGCTACATGTTTGGTAGTTTATGAAAGTTGCCAATCTGAACCAAAAATATGCTACATGTTTGGTAGTTTATGAAAGTTACCAATCTGAACTAAAAATCTGCTACATGTTCGGTAGTTTATGGAAGTTGCCAATCTGAACCAAAATCTGCTACATGTTTGGTAGTTTATGGAAGTTTATGGAAGTTGACAATCTGAACAAAAAATCTGCTACATGTTTGGTGGTTTATGAAAGTTGCCAATCTGAACCAAAAATCTGCTACATGTTTGGTAGTTTATGAAAGTTGCCAATCTGAACCAAAATCTGCTACATGTTTGGTAGTTTATGAAAGTTGCCAATCTGAACCAAAAATATGCTACATGTTTGGTAGTTTATGGAAGTTGCCAATCTGAACCAAAATCTGCTACATGTTTGGTAGTTTATGAAAGTTGCCAATCTGAACCAAAATTTGCTACATGTTCGGTAGTTTATGAAAGTTGCCAATCTGAACCAAAAATCTGCTACATGTTTGGTAGTTTATGGAAGTCGTTGATAAACGTATTGCATCTTATTTATTCCATTGGGTGAGTGTAACTGTGTTCTGGGAAAACCTCAATTCAAAAAGACCATCTAAACCTCAAATTTATATTTACATGTATATGTAATTGAATGAAAGTGAAAAACTCACACTTTAGAATCTTTTTCAACCAACAAAAGCAGACAAAAATAAATGTCTGGAAAATGCAACCATTTTGGAATACATGGTTTGCACACAGTTCCTCTAGTTTTGAGTTAATTACTTGGGTAGAATTTGTTGCAATAATGATGACATAAAGATTTCTATTACACATGTTACATCATATTTTATCTTTGACACCAAAACATCTTTTAACTTAGGAATAATACAAACACTATAAGCAAAGCCTATGAACAAAATTTGTAATATTTGGATATGGATCTTTTATTTCTGGAAAAGATTCTAAGCTCTTTATTAGATATAATGGTTATGCTGTTTATTTCGGCATTTTTATTTGCAGTCATCATTCCTGATCTGTTCATTCACTTTCATGCAATTAATTACTTGTCTGAAAATTCAGAGATGATTACCTACAAAAGCTAGCATATATAAAATGTATTCTCCAAAAAAAATATGGAATACAATAACCGCCATAACTGAAT